CCACTCTTGATTATCTCCAGCGCACACTCCTCCTTCGGTGCCGGCATGTACCGTACGGCGTGCGAGACCACTCGCACGGCGTTCTCTGGAGGAACGGGAGGACAGGGAGGGAAGGAGCAGTGATGGATGGAGGGGCTGCCACAGGCACCACTGCCTCAGTTGGGGTGTCTGTAGCTTCCTCTAACAAACCAACAAACTCTGGGGATCAGACCTACTTAACAAGGCTTAGAATAGTTAAAATAAATAACAATTACAGCTATGTCCTTCCCATTCCTTTCCACCTCTTGAGTGACCGTAGGACGGAATCCCCACCTCCCCTGGTTTTACTGCAAGGATAGCAGAGTCAAAGGTCTCAGGCCACGCTTTTTATAGAGCTGGGGTCCCATTTCCACAATTGTACAGCCACTGCAGGCTGAGGGTCCAGCAGCGGTGGTGAAGCAGCGTGCTGAGCAGCCTGGGGCCAGAGGGCGGGTGGTGGGCTTGGCTTGGGTCTGTCTGGAAACGCACTGAGTTGCGGGGCCCCAGTGTTGCTGAGCTTACCTGTGTCGATGTAGCCCAGGATGCAGAGTGTGACGGAGATGTTGACCTTGTCTATGATGAATTCCTGTCGCAAGGAGCTGAAAAATCCATCTAAGGCAAACTTAGTTGCAGAATAGGGAGCACTAAATGGGGCGCCAGTTTTACCTGGAGCAGACACACAATGTTAGGGTTCATGTACTGGGCAGACACCAGGCTGCACGGCTCTCCCTTCCTCTTGCCCTTCAAGTAGCTACAATATTGTGATCTAGGGTGACGGAGTAAGCTGTAATGAATGCTTGAGAGAAATAAACAAATGCAGGAATGTTAAATTTTTAACATATGGCATACAATGGCATGAAGTACCTTCAGTTGTGGGTGATACTGTTCTTATATTCCTGCATATGTACCCATGTACAGCAAATGCATGTGTAATATGTGGCCATGCACATAAAATAACCTGCAGTGGTGTACCATTGACTGCAATGCATGAAGGTGACCAGTAGGTGCAAAGAGACTAGAATGACGGGGCATAGAATATAAATCAGCCAGAGGACTTGAATTGTGCATCCAGGATATAAATCATATGCTGATCCTGACTCCCAGCGGGGTGGCTCTCTGCCTTATGGTCCTTATTCTGTCTTTTGAAGAAGAGCCGCAGCAGCCTCTTTGCAGGCAGAGGAAGGGATGTGGGCAGGGAAAGCCTGGTCCCTCGTGTGCTCACCTGCCATGGAAGAAACAACAACAATGCTGCCCTCGCTCTCCTTCAGCATGGGCAGGGCAGACGTGGTCATCGCCACGTAGCTGAGGAAGTTGATCTCCAGGAGCTTTCGTACGTGCCCAACGTCCCCATTGAAGTAGTTGAAGTAGGTGTAACCGATGTGATTTAGGATGAGCATATCAAGGCCTCCTGGAAGCAGAGCATGTTTGCTATTAGCAACCGGCATCTAAAAACAAAGCAGCTTCTTGGTGGCTGGGATGGCCCCACAATGTAGCGTGGGGTGTGTTGGGGAGTGAGGAGGGGCAGCTCCCCATCACCTACCCCAGGTGTTCTCAGCCTCCTTCACCACCACCTCAGGGAATGTGGTGTCCTCCATAGAGCCACTCACGTAGTGGGCGGACGCGGCACCCAGCTTGAGGCACTGCTCCACAACCTGTGGTGAGAGCGGTGTTGGTGATGGACCCCCCTCCATGGACCTCCCTGCCATCCCACAAAGGCTGTTGCTGTCTTGGGGCAGGTGGGCAGCGCATCTCCCTGTCCCGCAGGAAACCCTCCTCCCTTCATGGGAGGAGACACATTGCTCAGAGGAATGTTTCTGGCTGCGGAGTTAAACAATGGCACATCTGAGCCAAACACATAGTATTTATAAATAGGGATACGACTGCTTAATTTTGATTCTGTTGTATACAGGATGCAAAAACAGTTCAGACTTTGAGAAAGGGCGAGGGTTGATGAGACCAGGACTTGGGCAGACTAGTGTTGTCCTTGGTGGTGGAGATCAGAATTCACAGCTGAAGACTGCAGAGAAAGAAGTGCTGTGCTGTCATCATTGAAAATGTAGTTTGTTGCAGTGCGATGTGTGTGTTAGAACAGGCTTGTACTGGGGAAATGCTGGGGTGGATCTGTAGGGTATCTGGCATCCCTGTGTGCCCAGGCCAGGGTGAATATCTGCATTCTGCCTGCCTGCGGGGTTCTGGATTGCAAATGTGTTTCGCCTGCCTGGCATGCTCTGCTTGCCATTTACTTTCTGCAGCTTGGCCTCCGTCCGCGCCGTGAGCAGTAGGTGGGCCTCCATGCGTGCCAGGTGATACGCCATCTGCTCCCCGATGCCGCTGCTCGCTCCTGTCACGATCACCCGTTTCCCCCGGAGCATCTCTGGAGAGAAGGGCGCAGGGCTCAGAGCCGGCGCAGCCCACACTGTCCCCCCGCACACGGGCACCACAGCTCCTCTCTGCCCCTTGCCTTTGGGTGCGGGGAGCTGCAGGCAGCAGCACTGCCCCGCTGGAGCGTGCGCTGCTCGTGCAGACCCCAGCTGGAGTCTGGTTGTTAGTCCCAGTTTGTTGGGGAGCGCGTGCGAGGCTTGAGCTCTGTATCCAGCCTGGTCTGGGAGCAGCTTTTGGAAATGGCGAGAGTTGACTAATAAAACGATTAAATGCTTTAAGTGGATAACTGCATGTTTCCCAAATAAATCATTTGCTGAGATCAGACGCTTCCCATGTGTCCCGGCAGACTCCAGCATAATCCCATGAGCTTTCCTGTGTGGCACAGGGTGCTCTGACCCCTTGCACTGGGGGCTGCCTGCGCTCCCCTCTAAGCTCTCAGCCCTCCCACGCTTTGGCTCTTCCAGCGGTGCTTTGAAAGGCCCTTCAAATGGCCCGTGCTCTTCTGCGTGGGCACACGCTGCCACTCTGGCAGCAGCCTCCCTGATTGCGGTTTTAAAGTGTGTTTGTCCAATGACTTACCTTCACTGAAATTCTCGGGTGCTGAATAAAAATAAAAGGCCAGTGCCAGTCCCAGCAAGGGGATGAAAATCTTCGGGAGCACACCCATCTCTCTGCAAAAGTACAGGCAGGAGCAAGACAAACTCCGCGGCTCTGACCGTGGGGAGGTGGATGCGTCAGTAGGTTGCAAACGGAGCTAGGAGCGCTAGCAGTTTTGAACTGATTCTCGTCTTGCACAATTTTGCTGGTATCTGTTGGACCTTTTCTCTGTGCTTCCTGTGGTTTAGCAAACATTAACCTAATGGGGAGTGTCGCTTTGGACTTTAGTCTGTCCCTTTGCACCCTTGTCCTGACAGGAGTTTCAAGCGTGGTTTTGAGAGCACTGAAGGGAAGGCCCTGAAAAGCTTCTAGCTTGATAAAGTGGTGGGTGTGTTTGGTGGCTGCTTTTAGGGCTGGGACACCCATGTCCCCTCAGTGCAGACCTCCATAGGATGGACATCCTTCTCTCTCACTCCACGTCTGAAGCCGAGGCAACGCTTCCCTTCCTCTCTGGCTGCCGCAAGGATTTATTGATCAGCAATGATCACTGTGGTACAGGTTCATAGGAGTATCTAGAGAGAGCAGGGCTGGCAAAGTTTGTGGTTTTAGACCCTTATTGGTGCTTCTGGCTTATCCTACGTGATATCACCATTGGTGTAACACTGACAGTTTGTTGGGTGGCTCTTATACCTAAAAAATTGCAGTCTTGTCTTGAGGAATCCACTGATTGCAAAAGGCAGTAAAAGAGCCAAACGGGTGAATACTAAAGATCTTCAGCTTTCACAAGCGCTGTGTGTCACACTGCTCAGTATCTGCCTGGGCATATGGCGAGCGGGTTTGCAACTCATTTTCTGAAAGAGAAAGTTTACAGGGCAAAACCCACTCCGTGCGCGCTGGTTTGCGTAGGTGATCTCGGGATAAGGAGAACAGAAATGCCAGTTCCTGATTTCCTTTAGAAAGCGAGGAGCAAACCGATCCTGGGGAGTGCTTCAGTGGGAAGGGTTTGGGAAAGTTTCGCATCGCTTTGTCTCAGAACGGGTAACAGTTGGTGCTCCAATGGCCAGAACCGTGTCAGGTGTAAATGCACCAGCTCGGGCACTGCTGCCAGGGTCAGGGAAGCGGTGCAGAGCTCGCTGCAGGCTTGTGCTTTGGTTTCGCATTCAGCATGCATTGCTCCTGGGGCCCGAGCTCTCGGCTTAGGGTGGCAATGCAGCAGCCCTGTGCGCCTGGAAGGCGTTTTCCAGTTAAAATATTTGTGTAAGAAACTGTCTACCACGTTTGGAAAGCTTTGCTTGGGGTAAAAACTTGCATTTAATTTGGGCACTAAACTAACAAAAAAGTAGGCTAAAAAGGCAGTTATTCCTAAAATGAAATAATGAAGGATTATTGCAAGGGTTCAACCTTCCCGTGAAAGGCAAGTCAGTGGAGTTGTGCCCACTTACAGCAGCATTTAGTAATGGAGGGAGAGGGGATTAAAAAAAAACCCCCACGGGACACACAAAACTGTTAGGTTAGTAAATTTTATTTAATTAGCTTGTTACTACTTTTCCCTAGTCCGGGGAAGGAATGGGTCTGACCAGATGGGATGCTGCAGCTGCAGGGACTTCCCCTCTTCCACGCCTCGTACCGCACGATGCGGCCGTCCCAACCAGCCCCGTCGGGGGCGACACGATCTGCTTAAAAATGAAATAATTAACTCTTTTTCCAAGCGCAAGCGGAGATTTCTAACGGCAGGCCCGTCCTACCCTGCG